TTGAAATCCAAGGCCTCTTTTGAGGATACAAAGGACTGTAGAGGATGGAAATGTTAAGGTTGCAAAATGCTTGCAGTGTACCACATGCTGTTGATATGCTTACCATAGTAATTTATGAGCCTTAGAAATTTAGGCCTTTGATATAGCTGTCATGAAGGTGAGCCTCAGCCCTGTCTGTGCATTCTCTGAAATGATTCACTTCAGGCTCCCAATATCAAAATAAACTCCTGTTTCTTTATGTTCTCCCTGCTTTCCTCCCTTCACAGCTTCTTTAAACCTTCTTTTTTATTTTTTGAGACAGTGTCTTGCTCTATTGCCTGGGCTAGAGTGCCGTGGCATCAGGCTAGCTCACAGCAACCTCAAACTCCTGGGCTCAAGCAATCCTTCTACCTCAGCCTCCCAAGTAGCTAGGACTACAGGCATGTGCCACGATGCCCGGCTAACTTTTTCTATATATTTTTAGTTGTCCAGCTAATTTCTTTCTATTTTTAGTAGAGATGGGGGTCTCGCTCTTGCTCAGGCAGGTCTTGAACTCCTGACCTTGAGTGATCCTCCCAGAGTGCTAGGATTACAGGCGTGAGTCACCACACCTGGCCTTAAACCTTCTTAAAATTGAGAAAATACTTGTTATAAGACACTGCTAAAAAGAATCTAGCATCTAGGGGAAGTGTTAGAGAATTGAATGTCACTAGAGTACCAAGGAGAGAGGAGTTTGACCTGTTTTGAACTCATCTGTGACTCATGTTTATTTTATAAAACTCTAATAACACTAATAATGATAGCTGCTAACAGCTACATTTTTTTTTTTTTAAATTTTTTTTATTTTTTTTGAGCATTTTAAATTACTTCTATACAGCTACATTTTTGAGGTTCAGTTTCATTTATTTAGATACAGAGACAGTCGTCTATCTTCTTTTAGGAGGTCATTGTTTGGGAGTAACTATATATGTACTTCTAGTACCATGTCACAGTCACTGTGGGATCCACTTGCAGAGAAGATTTGGGGAGGGCATTAGCTTCCTGCTCATGGTGTTACTGAGAAAGGAACTGTGGCCATTTATTTAATTCTGGACAGAAGACCTGTTGTTTGTATTACATTAACTTAGAGGTCAGTATTTGAAATTTTCCGTTTGGCCATTATAAGAGGATCCCATAAGAATACTTATGACTGTGAAATTAGCCAAATACGTAGTTTATTTCAAAGACGAGGAAAACCTGTTGTACTTGTGATTACCTGGTTTCTGGAATGAATTACTGAACTGATGTTTGTTTTTATATGCAGAGAAAAAGTTATATGCTTGGTACTCTTTCAATTATAAACTTAATAGGTTATGAGAGATATAACTCGGGCATCATTAAATGAAGAAGGTGTTCTTGTAATTTATCTTTCTTTGTGAAGCTTTGCCTGTTCTGTTGATGACAAATTCTGGGAGGACATTGTTCTACATTTTTAGTGATGATGTACTTTATTTGTCCTTAAATGATTTCTGACAAGTTTTCTTTCCTTCATATTTTCTATTAAATATTTTGCTTGACTTTTGGAGAGTTATAATGTCCTCTACTTCTCCCTTTTCTTCTCCAATGGTTCATATTGAGTGCCCAGGAGTTGTATGTTTAATTTGGTAAAAGAGACTTAAGAAGAATCATACTTCCCATGTGCTTATGCTGATCATGAAAAGCAAAACTTATTATTAAAGGATAGACCAGGTGATTAATAAGTGAAACATAACTGTTGTTTTAGAAATGATCTGTAATACCTTGATACAGATAATATCTGTAATACCTTAATAATGATCTGCCATACCTTCTAGGAGGCTACTCATCTAAGTTTCCTTCTCTCTGGGTAGTTGGTATTGATAAGGGATTATCAGAGTGATCTATTGGGCTTGTCCATTCATTTCTGCAGGGCACTATACTAGGCACTAGAGATACAAAGATGAGGAAGACGTGCCTTCATGGAGTTCATGACCAAAAGGGAGGAACAGATATGAACAAAATCACTAAAATATGCTCTGAAAAGAACCCTAATGATAGTAGAAACATGCTCCAACAACCCAGAGAGTGAGAAGTATGCATACACCCTGGGCATTTGCATAGCATTTGTTTAGTTAATACAACAAGAAATCTTTTTTATCAATAATGTGGTTCTTCCCAGCCCACCCGAAGGCAGCTACATTTATTATGAATGTGTGCCTGATGTAACTTGCGTGGGGTTTTCCGTGCCACTAATGGTTTCCAGGGAGTAGAGAGTAAATCTCTTTTCGTAAGAGGTTGGGCACCCTAACCCTGTGTTATCTGGAATCCAAAATACCTTTCTATGTACATTTTTTTACTTTTAAGAATATTCTTTCAGAGATTATATAAAAATAATTTTCTTCATTTTTCCTGAGCCCCTTTGGAAAAAGAGCTCTATCCAAATAAAGGGGACACAATATTTGGTTTTTCAGTACATTTTTCCCTGCCAACCTTCCTTCTTCCCTAAAGAAGTAAAGCCTGACTATTTTTCTTCCTGGAAAATGGCTTACTTAGTTTATCTCTGTATGAAGGATTCGAAAAATCATTTAAAAATAATTGATTAGCATTTTAAAAAACTGACACAGGTATCATTTTGGAGCTTTATTAATTAAACTTTAAGCTGTTAGTCACACCTACTACCTTCATATTTCTTTTACTGGCATTAAATCTATTAATTCACCAAATAGATTTATTATCTATTTGTATTATTAGCTAGATAAGCTGTTGGGGAGATTGCAGTATGGTGATGTTTGCCCACATTAGGAATAAATTGTTTTTCTTTTACTTCATTTTTTTTGGGGTTAGGGGTTGGTCTTTTAACTATCTTATATTATCAGTACATATGCTCTGTTTCCTGTCCTAAAGGAATGTGTAAGTCCAGTCCTAACCTTTAGGTGCTTGAAACTGTAGTTCCAGAGAAAAACAGCTGGCACTGAATGCTGCCTGTCTCAACTTTCCACCTAGGATCTGCCAGCCAGCCAACCGGTATTGGATGCATGTGTTCCAAGTGTAATGTTGATATAAGTGAGATATAAAAAAAAATAAAAGTTACTACCTTTGGCCTCACAACTTAGGAGGCAAGCCTTGCAAGAATACAACATTTAGAGATTTTTATAACAGTGCAATACAGCGAAGTACTTATTGTTTAGTATAACAAATACAGTTCAATTTCAGGTTAGCTAGAGATTATTGTAGATTAAAGAAATTGACTTCAGCCTAGTGTGGTGATGTGTGCCTGTCGTCCCAGCTACTTAGGAGGCTGAGGCAGGGGGATTGCTTGAATCCAGGAGTTTGAGGTTGCAGTAAGCTACTATGATGTAGCCCAGGTGACAGAATGAGACCTTCTCTCAGGCAAAAAAATGACTAAAGATTCATCAAGAACCTAAGAGTAGGTTCTTAAAAAAATGGGTGCTATTTGAATAGGGGAGTAGGAGAGCAGGTTAGGACAGTCCAAGCAAGGGTCAGCCTGAGGCAAGAATGAATATAGGCTGCCTAGGGTCAGTAAAGAGAACCTACCTGGAGTACAGAATCTGCAGGGAGGAATAGGGTGAGACTAGTTAGGTAGACCTAAGAAGACAGACTTGGAATGCTAGGTATGCAAAGAGTCTTTGTTGGCACCTGAAAGGACTGGGGAAAGGTGATAAAGCAGCAGGGCAGCTAGAGACTGGAGGGTAAGTCTATCTGGGTACTTTTGGCCCAGATTTGTAATGTGGGGTTAGGAAGTGCACTGGCCAGTCCTGGTAGAAAGCTGTGTGTGCACTTGTGTGGTGTGTTAAAATGGCTTCCTGCCACTGCTAGTGTTTGGTTAGTAAGACAGAATGAAGGAAAGAGGTAGCCATGGGACAAATGGGCTTTGAGAAGTCTGAGTTGTTGGTAAAGTATTACTGTTGGCTTTTATTTAGTATCATATTTTATACAAAATCAATTTTACCAAAAACCGTAACCATCAAATATAGAAGTCATTTTAGTTTTTTATTAAAAGCATAAATCATAGTTTATATATAATTCCATTTCATCTCTTCACTTGTCTCTCACCCCAGACACCCACTGATTCATTCTTGATTGTTTTTATTCTCTCTTCTTCCTCCTCCCGCTCCTTCCCTTTCTTATTATCTCCGTTTATTCTTCAGGTCTCAGTTTAGGCATCATTTCATCTAGAAAGCCTTCCTCAGTCACAGTTGTGCCCAGGGTGCTCTCCCTGGCACCTTTACTGCCCCGTGATCTCTCTTACCACAGTGCACTGTAATTGCACACACACTTGTCAGTGGCCTCTGCTGCCCTGTGAGCTCTGAAGCACATGGACTAGTTTTGTTTGCTGTTAAATCCTTATCTGTCAGGGCTGGTCAGGTACATGCTACATGTTTAGTAAATATTTGTGCAATGTAAAGGTTGGACTTTTTTGTCACTGTACTTACAATTTCCTTAAAAAAATCATCTCCTTAGCAGACACTTTCCTGCTTCTATTTACTCCTTACTGTTATTATTTATTATGATTGTGTTTTTAAATATATATATTTGTTAAGTATTTCCATACTATTGGGCATTTAGGTTATTTCCATTCTTTTTCCTACTATATCTAGTACTACTACCATAAACTTTCTTATACAGATAGCACTTCTTTTTAATACTTTTAAATTAAAAATGGTGCTGGATGCAGTGGCTCTTTCCTGTAATCCCAGCACTTCCAGCTGAGGCAGGAGGGTTGCTTGAGGCCAGGAGTTCAAGACCAGGCTGGGCAACCATAGCAAGTCCCCCATCTCTTTAAAAGAAAAAAAGAATAACCAGGCATGGTGGTACATGACTATTGTCTCAGCTCCTGGGGAGACTGAGGTGAGAGGATCACTGGAGTTCAAGAGTTCAAGGCTGCAATGAGCTATAATTGTACCACTGCTCTCCAGCCTGGGTGACATAGTGAGATTCTGTCTCTAAAAGTAAATAAAAATTAAAATAAAATGATAAAGGAAAGCCATACACCAAAGCACATTTTATTTTGAAAAAAGGTATTTAAAAAAAAGAGATAAAAAGGTATATATGTTTGTTTATATTATTTCTCACTTTGAAATGAGTGGCCTGCAAAATGGTATTTGTTTTGCCCAAATTTTATTTTGAACAAGGAAATGTATGTATCAATTCTTATTCAGATTAAACAAATTATAAAATGAGGCATCTGTGATGCTTAGACTGGGGGAGAGACACTGATGGGGTGTGTGGGTGGTACTGTTTTAAGTAGGTTATTCAGGGACAGCTTTGAAGACATGACATTTGAGCAAGGCCTTGAACAGGGTAAGGAACCATGCAGAGATATGGGAATAGAGCCTTCTAGTCAGAGGGAACATCAGGTACAAAAGTCCCAAGTTGGGAGTCTGTCTGTGTGGTCAAGTAACAGTGGAAAATCTCTGGGAGAACAGTAGGAGGTGAGATCAGGAGAGAAAGGCAGGAGCCAGGTGATATAGGTCCCTGTAGACCGCTTTTGGCTTTTACTCTAAGTATAATGGGATGCCATTGAAAGGTTTTCATCAGGTTGTGACAGGATCTGATCTGTGTTTTGGAAAGATCCTGTTGGCTGATGTGTAAAAGTTACACTGCTGCCAGTCAGAGTGGAAGTGGGCCGACTGGCTAGGAGGCTACTGCAGGAATCTAGGTGAGACCCAATGGGGGCTTGGATTAGGGTAGTGGTGGTGAAGGTGAGGAAGGGCGGTCAGCTTTGGGATTTTGTAAAATGATATGTCCTGAGAGATGAATCTTAACACTAGTTAAAAAACAGCTCAAGGCAAACTATTAGTGGTATACAAAATGTCTTTTTTTTTCAAAGTATTTGGTAGATTCTGTATCCTTGAGATTCCTTAGTTGGAGAAAGGAAGTAGGAAAGGTAAGGGCTGGGACTTGGTCTCATGTGAATCCATTTGCTGATGGAACAAGAAAGATTCCATAACAGGAGATGTGTAAATTCTCCTCTGTAATGGTCATTTATTTAGTATAAAAGCTATATCTAAAGAATGTATGCTTGGGTACATAATCTGAATTCTGGTGTTTACCGTGGTTATGTTCAGCTAGGCCTGTTTAGTAGTAGCTGTGAAACATATTGCAGCAATAATAAGGAATGCAGTGGGTGCCTTTTTGCTGTTATCAAAATCCATTAACAGTTTTGCTGTGCTTGACTGCTTTTCTTTGTTGATGCTTTATGGTTCATACTAAAGCTGTAGATATAAAGGACATCTATTCTACTATGGTTTCTCAAGGTCTTACAAACAATGATGTTGTATTTTGAGTAAACATCTGTTTATTCCTTGTGATGATAGATGCTAGACAGTTACAGTTTGCTTGGATTCTACTCCCCTACTTCAGATGGATTTTATCTAGGTAGAGAAAAGGCATTGAATCATGTTTTTAAGCTTTGTAGCACTACACTGGCTTATGTGAATGCTTCACACTATTGGATATTCTTTGTTGCTTTAGCTGTAGAAGAATGTTAGCTTAGTTAGGTTACACTCTTTAGTGTAGAAGGTTCTGTGAAAAGTGGGTGAAGGTACTTCTCAAGCTGTTAGAGTGGACTGTCATTTTTTTCCTGCAAAATTTGGCTTTGGGGTTATGGAATTTAAACTTATAATATTTGCTATTTGCAACATATGCAGCCATCATGTTATGTGATTGTTGGTTTTTGCTTTTTTTAGGGTTAGGGTCTTTTAAGACAGAATTTTAGAATCCTTGTTTTCTTAGCCATTTAAAGCTTGAGACCAAAGATTTAAAAACCTTTTTTGGGTAGCAGATTGATTTATTAATCTGATGAAAACTGTGGACTCTCTTTCCAGAAAAAGACATGTATACTGTCATTCAACAGATTTATTCAGCAGATATTTATTGAGTAGCTACTATCTGCCAGACATAGTTTATAGATGTTAGGGTATACCAGTGAACAAAATTGTAAAAAAAAAAAAAAAAAAAAAAAAGCCCAAGCAAACCTAAAAACATTGCCTTTGTGGAGCTTATATTCTAGTGGAGTCAGTAAACAATAAATGAGAACATTTGTAGTAGATTAGAAATTGGTAAATGCTATGGAAAAATTAGAATGTATAAGGGAGTTTGAAAGTCGGGCAAGGATGGTGTTTGTTGCAATAAAATTGGGAAGTCAGGATAGGCATCATAGGGAGGGTGCTATTTGGGAAAAAGGTTAAAATGGTACATGAGTTAGCCATGCTGAGTTCTGGAGCTTGAGTTTCCAGGTAGAGGGGAATAGTCAGAGGAATGATCCTAAAGTGGGACAGGAAGACAACATGGTCAGAGCAGGATGAGCAAAGGGAAGAGTGGTATGTCAATTTCCTAGGGCTGCCGTAACAAACACAAGCTTGGTGACTTAACATAACAGATATTTATTGTCTTACAGTTCTGGAGGCCAGAAGTCTGAAATCAAGGTGTCAGTCGGCAGGATTGGTTCCTGCTGGAGGCTCTGAGGTAGTATCCATTCCACACTTCTCTCCTTTTTTCAAGTGGTTGCTGGCAGTCTTTGGCAATCCCTAGGAACTGTAGTTTAGGACATATCTATCATTCCACCCACTACATCTGTATTGACACTTAAGATGGATGCAAAATGTAGTATGTACCGGTAAGTGGGTGGGGGCATGTGGATCTCTGGTGCCTCTGGTAGACCTTTTAAGGTCTTTGGTTTAAATTGAAATGGGAAAGCATTGGAGGGTTTTGAGCAAAGAAGAGACATGATGTGATTTGCATTTTAAAAAGATCCCTCCTGTGTTGACAATTGACTGAGGCTACTGGGTAGAAATGAGGAGATATGTGGGAGGCTGTTGTAATAATAATTATGTGAGAAATGATGCTTCTTATACCAGGGTGGTAGTAGGGAGGGTGGTGATAAATGTTAGGCTTCTGGATGTATTTTGAAGGTAGCACAACCGTATTTTCTGATGAATTTCGTTGTAGGATAGAGGTGAAAGAAAGAAGTCAAGGATGATTCCAGGCTTTGGGACTGAGCAGCTGGAAGGATGGAGTTGTCAGAAGCCCACAAAGGAAGGCTGTGGTTAGAACAGGTTTTTCGGGGAAGATCAAGAGCTTAGTTTGGGACACACTGAGTTTAACATGGTATTAGATACCTAAGTAGAGGTGCTGAGTAGTTTGAGTCTGGAATCCATGTGAGAAATCTAGGTTGGAGATACATAGTTGTGAGTCTGTGGCAAATGTAATTAAATCAGGGAAATTGGAAGAGATCAACACTGAAGTATAGAGAAGAGAAAAGGGCCAAGAATAAAGCCCTGGGACATTAAATGGTCTGGGAGAATAGTCAGCAATAAAAACTGAGAAGAGATCACCAAAAAAGGAGGATAGATTGTAACCAGTTTATTGCAACCAGTAAACGGTAGATTGTAATATATGGCATCCTGAAAGCCAAGAGACAAAATTGTATTAAAGCAGGAGGGGGAGATGAACTGTGTCAAAAATCTGCTAAATCAGATCAAATTAGGACTGAGAATTGATCATTGGATTTAGCAATGTGGAGAGGTGATCTTGGCAAGATTAGTTTGGTGGTATGTTTGGGTCAAGAGCCTTGCTGGAGTGGGCTTATGAGAGAATGTGTATAGCACCTTTTTGGAGAATATTTTCTGAAAAGGAGAATGGAGAAATAGGGCTAGAGCTAGTGAAACGTTAGTAAAGACATTTATGGCAGTATCACACTGCCTAAAAATTTGATATAATTACAGGGAATTAATGGGTCACCCAAATGCCTCCATGAATCTGCAGTTTAAAAACTGCTTGTCAGTAAAACTGTGGGGCAGTAACCTCAGTTCCTCCCTTGAGATTTCTCATTTATATTAAGAAGTTGCATGGCCTGGTAATTAGACTATAAGGAATGAGAATTTCTATCTTCAGTTTTCCTTGTAGGAGGAGGCCTTGGTACAGATTGGCCTTACATTTTTAGAAATTTATTTTACACTTTGTACTTAGCCAGGCACTGTTCTACTTGAAGTTAATCTTTGTAACAATCCTATGTAATAGATATTATTATCCCCATTTTATAATTGTAGGAAAATGGAGGCATAGAGAGATTCAGTAACTTGCCCAAAGTCCCCCAATTAGGAAGTGGCAGAGCCAAGTTTTGGGCTCAGGCAGTCTGACCCCAGAGTCAATGCTTTTTTTTTGAAACAGGGTCTCGCTTTGTTGCCCAGGCTAGAGTGAGTGTTGTGGCGTCAGCCTAGCTCACAGCAACCTCAAACTCCTGGGCTCAAGCAATCCTCCTGCCTCAGCCTCCGAGTAGCTGGGACTACAGGCATGCACCACCATGCCCGGCTAATTTTTTATATATATATATCAGTTGGCCAATTAATTTCTTTCTATTTATAGTAGAGACGGGGTCTCACTCTTGCTCAGGCTGTTTTCGATCTCCTGACCTCGAGCAATCTGCCTGCCTCGGCCTCCCAGAGTGCTAGGATTACAGGCGTGAGCCACCGCACCCGGCCAGAGTCAATGCTTTTAACCACTGCACTATGCTCTCATGCTTCGTTAATTGTGGGTGCTAATAAAGCATGTGAATATGGGCCACAGAAGTGAGGTGCAGGTGTAGGTATTGAGGGGCAAATGCTGCTGGGGAAATCATTGAGATTTTCTTTCTTTTTTTTTTTTTTGAGACAGAGTCTCACTCTGTTGCCTGGGCTAGAGTGCTGTGGTGTCAGTTTAGCTCACAGCAACCTCAAACTCCTGAGCTTAAGTGATCCTCCTGCCTCAGCCTTCCGAGTAGCTGGGACTACAAGCATGTGCCACCATGCTCGGCTAATTTTGTCTATATATTTTTAGTTGTCCAGCTAATTTCTTTCTATTATTTCAGTAGAGACAGGATCTCGCTCTTGCTCAGCCTGATATTGAACTCCTGAGCTCAAACGATCCACTTGTCTCAGCCTCCCAGTGTTGGGATTACAGGTGTGAGCCACTGCACCTCAATGAAAATCATTGAGATTTTCATCTGAAAGATTCTGTAAAAGAGAAAACGTTGTCTTTATAGATTTTTCTCAGTTGATATAAAATGAATATAGTAAGATTATAATCGTTTTTATTCTGAGGACTTAAAAATTGTTTATTTTCTTCTAGGAGGGAGATAAGCATCCTATTCCATTGTGTAAAAGTTGTTGCCTGGCACATGGATCTACTTGTTCTATTTCTAGCAGGTGAAATTGCTCCCTTTCCACCTGTACTTTATTTCCTGGCTCTTTTGACAGTAGGGCTTGATGTTTTGGTGTACCCTTGATGGCATTGTTCTCTTGGATCAGATGACCCAAATTCAGATTACCCTGGCTGTTTATTGTACAGTGGTTCGTTCAAGTGTGCCTTTGAGACCCTAGAGTAAAATTGATGATTCTGAGTCATTGTGGCTTGAAGAGCACGTCACTGGGGATCTCCTGGTCAATGGGATAGTGTGTTTGGTTTGATAAAGTTGCATACCCTTTTTATTTGTCATGCTGGTTTTTAGTCTTTGCTTTTTGAGGTAAGTCAGGCATGTTCTTCTCCCTGTAATCTCAATACAAGATAGTCCCATCAGGACTAGCCAAAGCCAAGAATTAAGGGAAGAAATAGTACACACAAGGGTACAGGAACCCAAATAGATTGTCATTTACCCCAAGGTATAGGTCAAATTGGTGATAGAGGCGGCATTAGAACCCAGTTTTTCCCTTCTTGGGTTAGCTCTTCATGTTATTGACTGTTTCCTTTGCTGTGCAGAAACTTTTTAGCTTGATGTGATCCCACTGGTCCATTTTTTGCTTTGGTTGCCTGTGCTTTTCAGGTCTTACCCAAGAAATCTTTGCCCAAACCAGTGTCCATCTTGGAGTGTTTTCCCTATTTTTCTTCTAGTAATTTTATTGTTTTAAGTTTAGATTTAAGTCTTTAATCCACTTTGATTTGATTTATACATACGGTGAGAGATTGGAGTCTAATTTCATTCTTCTGCATATGAGAACCCAGGCTTAATGCCTAAGTTAATGGTTTTTTTTTTTTTAAATGAATGAGTGTAAGCACATCCATGTAATTATATAATTTTCACCATTATTATAATGAATGCATAGTGTATCATAGTGTTTTCTGTTTTTTACTATTGTCAGTAACACTGTAAGTCTCTTTTTTTTTCATTGAATAAATAATGAGTATCACTACTAGGCACTGAGGATGTGGTAATGAATAAATAGAAAAGTCTCTGCTGTGATGGAGCTTATGTTGTAACAAGTGTCATCTTCTATTCATAATTATTTCCTTAGAGTAGAATATAAGTGATATTATAAATTAAAGCTGTCTAGTAGCCATGCATGGTGGCTCTCGCTTGTAATCTCAGCGTTTTGGGATGTTGAGGCAGGAGGATCCCTTGAGGCCAGGAGTTTGAGACTAATCTAAGCAATACAGCGAGACCCTGTTCCTATCAAAAAACCCAAAATTGTTCAGTAATTGCATTTTTTTTTTTTTTTTTTTGAGAAAGAGTGTCACTCTGTTGCCTGGGCTAGAGTGCCATGGCGTCAGCCTAGCTCACAACAACCTCAAACTCATGGGCTCAAGCAATCCTTCTGCCCTCAGCCTCCCGAGTAGCTGGGACTACAGGCATGCGCCACCATGCCCGGCTAATTTTTTTTTTTATATATTTTTAGTTGTCTAATTAATTTCTTTCTGTTTTTAGTAGAGATGGGGTGTCGCTCTTGCACAGGTTGGTTTTGAACTCCTGACCTTGAGCGATCCTCCTGCCTCAGCCTCCCAGAGTGCTAGGATTATAGGCATGAGCCACCTTGCCTGGCCCAGTAATTGCATTTCTAAACATCAGAATCAACTTTCATATAAAACTCTGTGAAAATGAAGTATTCCACAGTATTTTTTATTTATTTATGTAGAGTGCCCCCTCACACACAAGTGTTATCAAAAATTAAAATGTGTGGGGATCTCTGAAAGGAAGTTTAAGTATCATTAATTCCTGGTAATTAAAGAACTTGGTTAATTGCTTTTTTTCACTAGGTTGCTAAAGTGTATAAATATATCTTATGATTTGGGGCATGGCTGAGAAAATTTTCCGGTGATTTATTGTACATTTAAGTGATAAAGTCTATATTAAAATCAAACTTTTAGGTTGTAAAGTTGACTAGTAATTTCTCATCCCCTACTTTGTGTAATTATCCTCTCCTGCTCTTATTTCTATAAATTCTCTAGGGACTTGGCAACTTCTTTTTTTTTTGAGACAGAATCTGACTCTTTTGCCCTAGGCAGAGTGCAGTGTGGCTTCATTGTAGTTCACTGGAGCCTCATATTCCTGGGTTCAAGTGATCCTCCTGCCTCAGCCTCCTAACTTCCTGGGACTATAGGTGCACTCCATGATGCCTGGCTAATTTTTAAATTTTTAGTAGAGATGGGGGTCTCACTTTTGTTCGGGCTGGTCTTGAACTCCTGAGCTCAAGCAATCATGCCACCTTGGCCTCCCA